AGAAACTCAGTCCTTGATGACTTTTCTTGCTGTATGCAGTGGAGATGGAAGGACCTAATGCCCCTCATACCGATGTGGAAGGTGCTAGAGAGAAAACAGTTTTCAAGGCAGGCTTGTATAATTGCAAATCTAAAAACTATGAAAAACAAAACATTAAAGCCAGTTTGGATTCTTTTGTTTGCCCTGCTTAAGATCCTCCATGTTTAGAAGATACAAGATGCAAACGCTTCAAAGGAATATTTATACTGTCAAAACACTTCACAGGGTTTTGCAGGTGCTGATTATTCAGTGATTTCTACAAATTTTATTCAGTCTCCCCCTGCACAGGGAATGTTTCAATTTCTACTGCCTCTTACTGAGTTTTCCTGGCTGCCCTGTGTACGTACATCTGAATACAATTTTATCATTTCAGCAGTACAGGAGGACTCCAAGTTAAAACAAGATAGGTTCTGTAGGTTTGTTCTTAAGTTTAATTTGTACATAAATTGAAATAGGTACATTTTTATGTGTAACTCTAGCCAATTTTTAAAGCTTTGGATCACATAGGGAAGGGTTAACACCCCTGGGGTGTTTGTTTTGCTGTCTGTTCCTCTGTTCAGATTTGACCATACTTTCTGTCCCGGTGATAAATGGATTTTGAAAAAAAAATTGCTTGTTGTGGAAACAAGGATTGGTGAAGAAACTTCAGCTGAACCATCTTTTCCCCTTAAATTTCCCTTTCCAGTGGTCGATTTTCTCGCTTCCTGTGTCTTATCCCCGTTCTTAACCATGAGTTGTTTGTTTTTAAGTCATATGTTTGTAACTCGTGCAGTGAGCAGTACAAGGAATGATCAGGGATTATGTGCAATAGATATGATATTTGGAATGACCTCGACTACAATTGTTGGATTGTGTGATTTTAATTGTTTATATTGATATGTTTTAATGTTAAATGATGTCATGTTTTATTATTTAATTTATAATTGTATAGTATTTTCGTTACGTTCGGTTTCTGTATTGTGAGGCACTGAATTTTGCCATAATTGTGTTGGGAACTGCTTTGAGTCTCCTGCTGGGGTGAGAAAAGCAGTATACAAGTGAAGTAAATAAATAAATAATACATAAATATGCAATGAAGGACATAATGAAGAGAAAGGCTTCTCAGAAGTCCACCCTTCTGTATAATTCAGTGGGAGAACATATTCATTGTTGGTTAAAATATTTTCTATGTCATCTCCAGGTAAATCTGGGACCCAAACATATCTGAAGCTCTTCAGAGTCACTGCCAATTAATAGTGAGCTTTATTTCCCACATTGTAACAACATAAATAATGAACAGTTGAAAAGGCGTTATGTCTTACCTTGTCTGTCCAAACGATGGGACAGTATTAGGGTGACTCATCCTTTTTGACAGTGCAGATTCAGCTATTGATACCATTTAGGGTGCTGAATTTTGTCTTGTCTACTTCTAGGGAGAGTCAGCCAAAGATTTGGTCTTAAGTATAATGAATATGAAGACCATATTCATCTTCTATAATGTAAAGATGGGTTTTTTTTATAACTTACCAGTGTTTTGCTTAAAATTAATATGAGGGTAGAGCTTTTTTGCATGCTCTTCTGTACTACAGAGTTCGGATTCATTGAAGCACTGTCAGCTAATTAAATTGAAACCTTCATTTCTTGTTAAACGAAAGTAGTTGGCTGTAATAGTTGACATTCTTCAAAGTCTAATATGAAGCTTTATTTCCTTTTTACAAAACTGGATATAGGATGAGATTGTGGGGTCTTAAGGGTAGGTGTTTTCTGCTGCTAGATGTCACAGAAGGTGAGCCCTGGTGCCAAAGATTTTAGGTACATTGAGACAAAACAGATTTAGGGACTGACCAGACAGGGCCCTGGAGAATCTATTTTCGAGCCTGAATTCCCGAGGAGAGACCAGATCTTAATCTGCACAATTTTGAAGCAAGCTTCTGTATTGAGTTCCCGTAGCTGAATGAGAAACTACAAATATTATGTGATCAGTTTCCAGGTTTGCTCTATCAGCTGGCATTTAATGTGTGATAGTATGATTTTTGTGTAGGTTTTGATATATTTTATGTAATTTTGATTGGGGCTGCTTTCGAAAATTTGAGACCTCATTCCGATTCAACACAGCCTTAGTCCTGTTTAAGTTCCACCAACAGCTGTTTACATTGTCAAAATCTGAACATGAATTGCTTTTACAGATACTATGACATACTTTCTCCCTTTGGCTAGGCTGTAAAAGTTATCTTGCATTCTTTTGCATTACCCCCCCCCCCCTGCTCCCACACACTTTCCCCTGCTTTTAAAGTAACAAGAGAGTCTCCAAGCAACTTGTGAAGGATACAGTAAATATGTTTTCCCCACACCCAGAGCACAGGTTGCCACTACCCTGGTTTAGGATGGAGTATTGTTACTTGGGCTATAGTCCTGAGAGAAGAACAGATGAGCCTGAATTATATTTTTTTTAAAATTGCTAGAGTTTGTGGTAGAGAAATAAAGCACCACAACTCACTTTTCAAATTTGTGCACACTTGCAGAGGAGTAAATACCAGTCCCATTCTTAGTAAATTGTTTTAAGATTAAATCCTTAAACGAGTTATGTCTCAGTGACTGTTTAAACACCAGGTTTAAAAATACATTATATAACTCTTTTGTTAAATTGATTTGTGTGCACGTTGAACAATATTTTGAAAGCCATTATAAACCAGTAAAGAATTTTGGTTTTTTCCCCCTTTAAAAATGCCCCATGAGCCATCTTAATGTTTAAAATACTAAAACTCATGAAAGGTTCTAGTTATTCAGAGTGGTTGGGTTAATAGATATTATTCACTGATCCTTTTTTTAAGCCATTATTCACAATTTGTGATGTAAATATAGTTTTTCAATAGAATTTGCATTGCTACTTAGGATAGAACTTTGTGGAACTTTCTACTACTTTTATACTTTTTTATTAAGGTGGTGTTTAAATTGCATTTTGACAGTCATCTTCCTTTCTTATGTTGGCCCCAATAGTAACTATTTCTTATTCTATGCAATAATTGCAAATAAACTGAATACTAAATAATGGTGTACTGTCTACATAGTAAGCTGCTCTATCAAATTAGGGAGGAAAAATGAGTTCCGTTATATAGTGGCTGGATACTTTACATCTTGTTAAAATTAAACTAAAATAAAATTTAGCATACCGTCCTGCGTTTGAAATGAACAAAGCATAATTCTGCAGATCTGAAGGATTTTTAAAAACTGGATATTGCCTTTAGGGTGTTATTTACACTATTGGTCAGACTTTTCAAAGCATTTGAACAAACCTGAGTGAAATAATTTTTCTCAGTCTTGTTATTTTTGAATAATTGAATCCAAAAATTCTAAAGAGAATGAGACAAATGGTTTTTTTCAGGCAAGCCATGCAATTGGATCATATCCAATACCATATGATAGGCAGGCAGGGGAACACTGCTGGATTCAAATGAGTCAGACGATAAGGGGACATCGAAAAACCAATAATCCCGTGGAAAATATCTTGAGTACAATTCAGCATTCTTGCATAAAGAACACATTTATGAACAAGAAACACACTATTTTGCACACACAAAAACACTATGATTTTTTTGAAAAGTGTTTTAGGAAAAAAGTATATATATTATTTTGTGCGCACACACATTGACATACAAAGATTCCTTGTGTATTTCTGCACAGTCCCGTCCCCCCAAACCCTCAGTAATTTGTTGATGGGCGTATTCTGTGCAAAAAAATTAGACTAATTTCCTAGGTATGAGAAAACCCATTTTTGGGCAGAAAAATAAATAATAGTGGATTTTTTAAAAACAAAAAAAAATGTCTAGAAAAAGGTATTTAAGGACTGGAATGTGTTATAAGTGAAATAGAACATTCACTTATATTAGAAAGATCCATAGCTGAAAAGATTGTAAGAATGTTATTACAGAACAGGAAAGATTCAATGAGTAGTCCTCTCTATAACACCTCTAGACTAACATAGAGAAAAAAGTATGTAGAATTAGCTTTCTTAGGCTGAATCTGCTTCATCAGATGCATGGAGCGAGGTACTTATGGACAGACATTTATATCAAGCATCTGTCTGTAGGCTCTTCACTCCACGCATCTGATGAAGTAGACCCAATCTACAAAAGCTTATGTTGCAGAATTCTTTATCTCAGTCTCAAAAGGTGCTGCAAGATTTCGTTGCATACTGGCAGGGACAAATAAATTGTGTCTTTGAATACTCATTTCATGCCTGTCAGAATAGAATTAAGAAACTGAATAGAACAAAATTAACAATGAAGTAGATGTAAGGTTCCTCAGTGGACTATGTTCCCTTACTGAAACTGAAGTGTGTTCTTTTATGGAAACAGAAGGATATTCTGGTGGATGTGGAATAATATTCTGATGTATGAACTTATATCTTCTTATACATAAACTGTAAGAATAGAATTCTCTGTAAGTTGTTTTCAGTCTCCCAAATTCCTGTCTTTTACACTGAAATCCATACTCTGTTAAAATATTATAGTATATCTAGAATACTGAAATTTTCTAAAATGTAACTTGTAATAATGAAATGTGCCTTATAATGATGAGCTTAATATAAACATAATGAAATTTATTTTAAATTGTGAAATATTGATGTACTCAATGATATGCCTCCGAAGGTGCTAATCACCTTGTGTATAGAAAAAAATCATGACCTATAAAGCTGCTCAAATTCTTCTAAATATATAAGAACTATAGCTTTGCAAGTACCCAGTTGTAAGCATAAGTGAAAGTTAATTTGTTGATCTACTAGCTACTTCTACAGTTCCACTTTAAAAAACTTCAATCTTTCTATTTAGCATGCAACCCCAAGGTCACCATTTGTCCATACATAAATGAATAATAATTAATTTTCTGGAATAAAGTCAACCTCAGAAAATTAAAGAATGAGGAGTCAGTCAAATTCAAGAATGGGGAGTATTATTATTTTTTGTTTCTGTGTTTTTGTCCAGGTAATTACTACATACTGAAAGTGCTGGGTGTAAACATGTATCAATCAGTTGCTGGAGCTACCCATCCATTACAAACAGAAGAACAAGAAGTAGGCATTGATCCCTTGCAGAGTTATGTGAACAAACCTGAAGAAGGTAAAATTGTTTTTCTTCATTTCCTGTTTAGAAACCTGAAGGATAAGTGCTTCTCTGTTTTCTGTGAATATGTTTTCCTTCCTCCAAAAATACTGCATTTGAAACTATTACTATTTTCATTTTGTGTTTGGGAAAGTCCTATAGAACAGTACGACACTAATGTAACAGTATGACACCTTGAAAAATCAGGTTACAATTATGAAAACAATAACAAAATTTTATTTCACAAGTATCCTTGCTCATTATCAACCAAACAATAATTGTACAATTAGAATTGGAAATTTGATATATGCTAATGAAAATTCATGCAAAAATGATTTATTTCTCGTATATCAGCCAAAATTGGGATAGGAGAAAGGACATGGCAAGGGCATCACAAAGGAGAGATGTCCCGAATGCTCTTTGCTGCACACTTCACTTCAGAAGGTGAGGCACTGTACACAGGATTTTGGAATGTGATCTTAATAATACAGCATTTAAAATGTAAGGAAACATTAGTATCTGGAATATTTCAAATGCATGCACATTATGTGATATTGCTGGCTATAGTGAGAGTTGTTTGCATGCTGTAATGATGTAACTGGAATGCTGGGAGACCATGGCTCAAATTACTACTTGGCCATGGGAACCCACTTGGTGACTGTAGGCAAGTCAGTCTCTCATGCTTAGAGGAAAGGCACCCCACCCCAACAAATTCTGCCAAGAAAATTGTAATAGGGTCACTTTAAAGCAGTGGTTCTCAACCTGTGGGTCCCCAGTTGTTTTGGCCTTCAACTCCCAGAAATCTTAACAGCTAGTAAACTGGCTGGGATTTCTGGGAGTCATAGGCCAAAACACCAGAGGAACCACGGGTTAAGAACCACTGTCTTATAGTCTCCATAAGTCAGAAATTATTTGAAGGCACACAGCAACAGCTGGATACAGTAGGATTTCTCAGAGTGCATATTATACAGTATGTAGAGAAGGAAGCAGGGCTTTACCTCTTGGTCTTTATCTTGGTGGGCATGTGCCCCTACATCTCAGTGTGGTACATTCATTGTGGCACATGTACAGTTGAATGTACACTTAGACTCCAACTGCTCTACTAACTGTAGAAAGATTGAATGAGAAAGATTGAATGCACGTTGATATAGGTCTTGAGAAGCAATAGAAACATTACTGTGACAGTTTGTACTGTTGTAGATAATGAATGCACTTATCGGGAAAATACCTGATAAGGTACAAATGCAAGAAAAATAGCATTATAAATCAAATACCTCATTTTTCACATCTTTGTTGTCCCAAATTAACAATCTTTGGAATACACAATTTCTCCCAATGCTAATGTTAATATCTCACAAGCTAAGTGAAAAAATCAATAAATAATTGTCATTCATATATACAAGTTGGATAATCTATAGAACTTTTTAATGAAAAAAAATCGTACTTCCTGCTATCTTTACGCTAACATTAAGTAGAAATTAGAAACGGTAAACTGATAATCTGTTGCATGTCTTGGACTTGATGCATGATTTTAACCTCTCCTGGAATGGGTTTTAGCTTACTGTACTCCTTTTGTCTGTATGTGTGCCCAAGAGTAATTAGTTATGTAGCCAAGGAACACTTTCTGGTTTTTATCTGAACTTTAACATTGCTGCAACATAAAATGTTATTAGTATTGAATTGATGTTTAAAAGTGCCATTAATTCATTTACCCCAAATGTTCATTAACAATGTAAATGTATGCTGATGTTCTATGAGACAAGGAAGTGACTAATGACTCTTCGCACTAACAACACTTAAAATGAATAGAAACTTAAGATAGCTAATCTTGAAGTAATCAAGACCCTCATTCAGCTTGGCATCTCTGTATGCTCTAAAACAGCTGTCAACTGTTAAAAATATATACACAACACACAGATCCGCACATGCAAAGATAGAGATATGTAAATACATGGTTCCCCAAAGTCATAAAGGTTACCAACCATAGTACATTTTTACATTCTATATGTAAATATTTTATATAAAGCATCCATTTCATCTTCATGGCTTTTTTACAGTGAAACACAGACTGCATTTTAATTTGATGCCATATGCAGTCAAGATTCATCATCATTCAGTGTTGTACTATTATTTAAAATGAAGTATGCTATGGATATTGAGGGTGGGATGGACTTTAACCTGTAATTTTCCTAGGCCAAGTGCTGTAAATCGAGATTTCAATATTGAAAGTCAGCAATTGCTTTGTAACAAAGATATCATCACATGACAGGAATTTAATGTTACATGTTGTATGGAGGCCTCCATTCTTGGTGTTTCAACTATGTGTTTATGTATCAGCTTACATTTGTGTAACTGTACATATAATTTGACAGACAGCATTATAATCCAGGAGATAATGTATGTGGCTGCATCTAATGCCAGTCCCAAATATAATGAAAGGAATATGACTTGTTAATCTTCAAGACCCATTGCAACATCTAGCAGTGTTTTAATCTCAGATTGACAAGATTACTATAACTGTCATTGGCTAAGAATCCAAGAGACAAACTACATATTACATTACTCACACTTTTTGAAAAGCATGTTTAAACTGTCCATCTTTGTTTTGAAGAAAAAAAACTGTCCTTGGCTTGTTTACCATTTAAGAAATATAGATACAGTTGTAACCTAATTTCTTAGGTCCCTGATATGATTCCCATGCAGTGAGAAAGTCAGTACTAGGAATTCTGCCAGTGACACTCATTTAAGAGTAGCCAAGAATTCCTCATTCACAAATGGCCAACGGATCTGTTACAAAATAAATGTCTTTGGGTTGGCAGCTTGAGTGTTGAGTGTTCATGGAAATTTCTCACACTTAATCACTCCCCTGTTGTAACGTTTTCATGTGTCCTCGGATTGAGTTCATTTCTATACTCACTTGTTAAAATTGGCCACCTATAATGGTTGGAGATATAGATTGTGAAGCAATCTGCTGTTTAGGCATTATATAAACATGGTTCATTTTCTTACTTCATATGGTTTGCAGAAAGAAATTAGTGGAACAGGTTTCTTCAAATGATAGGAACAACTATGTAGAGAACAATACAAGTGTACATTATAATTTGACAGATGTTTAGGATATCGTATCACTGAAAATATTGGGTTGTAATAAGATGGTGATGAATAATTTTGAATAGAACATTCATTACTGAAACTTATCCAGGCTGCCATATTTTATTCTCTCTAAATAGCAGCTATGCTTTTTCCTCTACTCCTTCCAACACCAGATGCTTACTTAGCAAGCTTTTAATAGTCATTTATTAATAATAGCTTCTGTGTAGTTTGATTTTACTTGAACAGCTACAGATCTGTAGTGACAAAGGCCACTGGTATATCACATCTCCACTTATGTCTTGTAATAATCTTTCCTGTCACTTCCTTCTTAAATAGTGTTCTCTTATCTTGTAATCACACTAATACTTTCATGTACAGTGTTCTTTTTGGACATAGCATTAAACATAGCAGGGAGCATTTTAAAAAGTCCTAACACCATCATGTAAATAAAACATTTAAATGTATTTAAGCCAGTTCATTAGAATGCTACCTCTGTTAAGGTGCACCTTGAAAACATTTTGACTATGCTTTCAAAATTTGAACTCAGGTGAGGAACATAAGTAGTCATTTATAATATTGTGCTTCAATGACCAGTTTAGGCCTTGTTGGAGTCTATTAGGACACCTGTTCTTATGTCAGCTTTAATAGCAGAATGGTGGCTTAAGGCAGGTTAAATGAGATTATTGTCAGCTTCAACTTTTTATTATTATTATTATTTGTCGTGTCAGGAGCGACTTGAGAAACTGCATGTCGCTTCTGGTTGGAGAGAATTGGCTGTCTGCAAGGACATTGTTCAGGGGACACCCGGATGAATTAATGTTTTTATCGTCCTTGTGGGAGGCTTCTCTCATGTCCCCGCACGAGGAGCTGGAGCTGATAGAGGGAGCTCATCCGCCTCTCCCCAGATTCGAACCTGCGACCTGTCGGTCTTCAGTACTGCCGGCACAGGGGTTTAACCCACTGCGCCACCAGGGGCGCACATACAATCTGTACACATACTCACACACATACATTAAGTTGGAAATGGTCCAGAAGCAAAGATATAGAAATCTTCTGTTGCAGTTCTTTGAATCCATTTGGTAATTTTAGTTTCCATGTATATAAAGTGGCATCTGGATATGGTACAGTAGAATACATACATGATTTGATAACAGTGCATATAGATTTTTGTTTTTAAGTTATCAAGAATGCATTGAATTCCAAAGAAACAATTTTGTTGCTATCCTGATTTGTCTGGAAACTAAACACAGTTTTTCACTCTTTAAAAAATAACAAACACAAATACAGAAAACTAACCTCTCTAATGCTATTATAAAGTTTGGTGGCAATACAGAAAGATGTGTGCAGTAGAGAAATTGTCTTTTTCCCCCCTTTGTTTTGTTTCTTGGTCATTATTCTGAATTGTCCATGCAATCTACCTTTGGAGCAAAGGTAGAAAATAAAAACCCGAAATATATGTATACACTTAGCTCTTCTGGATTTTCAGTCATTAGTTGTCATGAAAACATTAAATTAAAATGCAAATTCCAAAATGAAAGCAGTTTGGACCAGTTGGCCTTGTTCCTCCTGAAATCTCTGTCCTCTCATATCTTCGTTGTTATTATAGCCTGTGTAGCTACAGGAGGAGGAATGGCATGAAGAAATTTTAAAAGTGCCATCAAGTTTCTTGCCATTTTTATAAAGGTGTGTTTTATTTATAGGCAATCTGGCCCTTTTAACAAAGAAAAATATTTCTGTGCTTACACTGCCACTTTTACAAACAAAACAGCTGATAGTTTAATGAACACCATACTGAGGGCCATGTAGGACATAAGGCAAATTAAGCAGGTTACAAACTGCACATCTTCTATTTAGATATAGGATATCTTCCCAGCCCGAACAATTAGTTGTACTAATCAGACAAGCTGACAGTCAGAAACAGAAGG